CAAATCTGAAGACCATTGTAAACGGGTTCTACAATCAAGAAAATATTTTTTCGAGTTCTAGATCATATATAGAAAATAGGTTTTAGAATCAAGACCATTGTAGCAAGTTTTCTGAGTTTTAGATCAAGTATGTAAGTCTCAAGACCATTGTAACAAGTTTTACAATCAAGAATCCATTTTTGGGAGGTTTAGATCATGTACATAAATCTTAAGACCATTGTAAATGGATTTTACAATCAAGAATCCATTTTTTGGAATTTTAGATCATATATACAAGTTTCAAGACCATTGTAAACGGGTTCTATAATCAAGAAACCATTTTTGGGAGGTTTAGATCGTGTACATAAGTCTAAGACCATTGTAAACGGACTTTACAGTCAATAATCCATTTTTGGGAGTTCTGCATCATGTTTACAAGTCTCAAGACCATTGTAATGGATTCTACAATGACGAATCCATTATTGAGAGTTTTAGATCATGTATACAAGTCATAATACCATTGTAAATGGATTTTACAATAAACAATCCATTTTTTTTTTTTTTGAGTTCTAGATCATGTTTACAAATCTGAAGACCATTGTAAACGGGTTCTACAATCAAGAAAATATTTTTTCGAGTTCTAGATCATATATAGAAAATAGGTTTTAGAATCAAGACCATTGTAGCAAGTTTTCTGAGTTTTAGAACAAGTATGTAAGTCTCAAGACCATTGTAACAAGTTCTACAATCAAGAATCCATTTTTGGGAGGTTTAGATCATGTACATAAATCTTAAGACCATTGTAAATGGATTATATAGTCAATAATCCAGTTTTGGGAGTTTTAGGTCATGTTTACAAGTCTCAAGAATCCTTTTTTGGAATTCTAGATCATATATACAAGTCTCAAGACCATTGTAAACGGGTTCTACAATCAAGAAACCATTTTTGGGAGTTCTAGATGTTTACAAGTCTCAAAGACCATTGTTACGAGTACTACAATCAAGAATCCATTTTTAGGAGGTTTAAATCTTGTACATAAGTCTTAAGATCATTGTAAACGGATTATACAGTCAATAATCCATTTTTGGTAGTTCTAGATCATGTTTACAAGTATCAAGACCAATGTAATGGACTACAATGAAAAATCTATTTTTAAGAGTTTTAGATCATGTATACAAGTCATAATACCATTGTAAATGGATTTTACAATCAAGAATCCATTTTTTGGAGTTGTAAATCATGTATACAAGTCTCAAGACCATTGTAATGGATTCTACAATAAAGAATCCATTTTTAACAGTTCAAAATTATGTATACAAGTCATATTATCATTGTAAATGGATTTTATAATCAATAATCAATTTTTTGGAGTTGTAGATCATGTATGCTAGTCTCAATACCATTGTAAACTGGTTCTACAATCACTAATATATTTTTGGGAGTTATAAATCAAATAAACAAGTCTCAAGACTATTGTAAACGAATTCTACAGTCAATAATCCATTTTTGGAAGTTCTAGATCATGTTAATAAGTCTCAAGACCATTGTAATGGATTCTACAATGACGAATCCATTTTTAAGAGTTTTAGATCATATGTATACCTTGTATAATCTGATACTATTTAGCATTGTTATAATGGGAAAAGCGAGGGCAACTTACATATAACATAAAACCGTTAAAAAAAACCAACATACATAATTTTTTTAGAAAACTTTGTATAATTAAAATTAATTTTAAATTATTGCCTCTTTTTGGTATACATCTTGCTTTAAAAGCAAATTTTAAAAAATCATTAAATTTTGGTTCTACAGACTGACGCGTTACCGGTGACCCACCCTGTATAGTAATAAATAAATATAATTTTAAAATTTGTGTACGAAATTAAATCTTAACTATAACGCCGAGGTTTTTAAATAATCTGGCCATTTTTTTACTTTTTAATATCGACGACATTTTTGTTATGTCAATAGCAGTCTTTAAATCGAAATATTAAAACTACCTGTCAAATATTTAAGAGATTCATTACACACAAACAAAAAATGTCATTAATCGACCCATTTAATTTAAAAAATATATTCTTGTTTTTATTTTTAGAAACACTCTGTACATTTTCGTATATTTTATACTTATGGAAGAACTGTAAGAAATATATTTATATATATAATTTTTTTTTTGTGAACAACTACATCATCGTTAAGTGCGATAATTTTCAAAATAGAGAGGCTTATATAATATCTGTATATATGAATCACAAGCAAATTTATGATGCAATTCAGCCAATAACTAAAACGGGTCAATTTAAATATACAAAATCGAAATTATATGAAAATTTTCTCCTCAAAAATAGAGGAGATTTATTAAATTGTAAAGTACCTACTGATTTAGGTACAAATAAAAAAAAATTGGCTATAAATAATTTAATATTTCTTGAATAATCGAGAAAATAAACGAATAATAATCGAAAATAATAAAAAAATAATCGAAAATAATTGAATTTAATCGAAATAAATCGAAGTTAATCGAAAATAATAGAAGTTAATCGAAAATAATCGAAAAATCGATTAATAATCAATTAAAATGTATTATTCATGGTAGATTTTAATCGAATAGTCCAAGATAATTGAAAGTAATCGAAATTAATAGAAAAAAAAAAAAAAAAGGAATAATAAAAAATAATCGATCAATCGATTATCAATTATTTAAAAAAATCGACTAATCGTTTATTTGATTAATAATCGACAAAAAAATTATTATTCACTGTGGATTTTAATTAAATAATAAAAAATAATCGAAAATATTAGAAAATAATTGAATATAATTGAAAATAAGCGAAATTAAACGAAATTAGTTAAAAATTAATCGATAAAAAATTGACTAATCGTTTAATAATCGACAAAAAATTATTAAAATTCATATAATTCGATTTTGGATACCAGTTGCGATAACCCGACTAACACTAGTACTAAGGAATGTTATTGCTTCACCTAAATTCTTTAACGCTTATACATATTTTATATAATGAATACAATAAAAGTGTTGGAATGTTGATTTTTTGGCTTAGCATAGCAGAAGCTTGGCACAGTAACTCAGTAGAACACTGAAAATGGCTATAGACCTTATTAAATTTAAGTCCCGGACTGACCACGTAAGTCGATACTCAAAATTTAATAAACATCGATTCAGAACAATTAAAAATCGTGTATGAGCAGGAAGTGTACGGATTTGTTGCAATTAAGACTGTTAAGAAATGTCTAAACATAAAAGACAGCCCAACACAATGTAATAATTGTTGTGGAACAAATGAGTTTCTGAAAAATCTGTTTCATAAATTTGGTAGGAAATTTTTCACTCTACAATTTTCCACCAAAGTGAGTGGTTTTCATGTAAAATGCGAAAAAATCGCAAAATATATAATTCATTTTTTTTAGCGAACTCTAGCGGTCAAAATATGAAGTTTAGAAAAAATGTATAGACATAATTGATAGAAAATTATTGCTTCTTCAAAAAATTTCAGTAAAATTTTCCATAAAAACGCATCGTTTTTGAGTAAAATACAAAAAGGACGCCGAAAATGTATATATGTATATATAATATTTTCTTCCTATTTTTCTCATTTCTGCGCATAATGAAATTTTGTATAAATAAGTAAAAACTTTCATTGTTATCTATGACCAAATGTAGATGGCTTCGACGTTTATCAAGAATATGTTTTAAGATTCTCATCATTGTTTTGGTTATGTTCTTGTAATTTTATTCCTAATAAAAATTTTGATATAACAATCTTAATTGCAAACTCGAAAACTGTCATAACTAGGTTTTAATTAAACATTTGAAAATTCTATTCATGCTTTTACAATAAAATGAAATATATGGTTAGGTACTATCTATCCTTACACTAATATATATTTAATTAAATGAGCAACTAAATATACCTATATAACATCGGAAAATAAGGAAGAACCACCTTATTTGTATCACAATTGCTTTGATATATTAACTGTAATAAGAAATATAAGTAATTTTGTTTATTTAAAATTAATAAACGCTAATTATTAATATTTAACGTATTTATGACGTCCATTTGAGTCAGAACTGGAATATGTCAGTGTTTTTATAGATGTCAGTTTATAGTGCCTGGCCAACGTTACAACGCGGTCGGGCCGTATAAACTACAGACAATAAAAAAATTAAAAATAATAAATTTTAGACCAGTTCTAATGCAAGGGGATAATCAGTTATGAGATATTGGTGAAAAATCCTAATTTCTGGCTATTGAACATATTTACTTTTGTTACATTGAAGATAGTCCCTCTTAAAACAGAATTCAACCCAGCACTGCCAGTACCCACAACTGTATTGGCTAACCAGACCTACACCCATGTGTTCTTGCAAACTTTAGCTGTTAACATAGTACACCAACATCAACTTAAAAGAATTGGAGCACTTATAGATACTGTGCCTCATATTAAACTAAATTACATCGAGTTCTTTTGGATACTGGTTCCCAAATCTTTTATATAACAGAATACTAAAATAATTCAAGTGCTGTTAGATGCTGGTTCTGAAATCTTTTATATTAAAGAAAACATCAGTTGTTATAAAAAAATATGGAGTGGAAAGGAGCAGCAGGAATAAATTAAAGAATGTAAGGTTTCTAGAAAAGTAAAAACCTTAAAACTTAGACAATATAGTGTATGGAAGATAATTTTATTGGAGACTTTGGTTGTATTAGAACTAAAAAAGAAATTAAATATATTTCGCACGATACTAGAGTTTTGCAGTCAAACTACAAATTATTCGAAAAAACCCAAGAATCAGTTCTAAAAGAAAAAGAAGAATCAGCAGATAGACGCATAAAAATATTGTTATATCATTTCGTATAATCAAAAAATGTCATATATTCAATAGTCATCTATAGTGGATATTAAATCTATTAGTAATTCTATTTTATATTATTTTTCCTTATAATTAATTCTATTTTATCATTTTTATAAATGAATAATATTTATTTAAGAAGTAGGGTGAACGAATTGTGTAAGAATGTTATTTAAAAAAATAAAGCTAAGATAAAAAAGTTGCATTGTTTCTATCAGTAATTTTTAATTGTTCTGAAAGGGAAAAAGATGTTAAATATCAAATATTGATATGTAGTTTTTAAAATAATCAAATAAATATTATTTGTTACTGACAATTTTTACATATGAAGCAGTCAGTGCCGGAACTTGAAAATAGCCTATGTCTAAAAGTATACTAAACTAAGTATAGTTAGGTACATCCTTAAATATATTGTTTCATCATTTTTTTTATGGATATGTAGATCTTCATACTCAAATTCATCATCATCCTCATTTTATTACTTTCATTTGTCGAAACTCGGATTTTTCGGAAAAAGAAAAATGACCGAATTACATATAAATTTGGTTTCGGGTGTAACGAAAACCCGTGAGATTTTAAACGTGCTGGACGAATTCGGGATTGAGAAACGAAAAACCCATGAATTCGGTTTGATCCAGATTCATCATGAACAGTTTGTCGGTTGGTGTCAAGTCGGTTTTTTCTGATGTAAATTGTTTGTCGAAGTTGCTCACGTCTTTACGATGTTTCTTAAAAATAAAAATATATTAAGCATAGATCGGTTTAGAGTTGAGAAAAAATGAGGTAATGAAGTCGAAACAAAGTGTATTTTTTTAAAATTACCTCAAAACTGAAACAAATTATATTGAAAAATTGAAAAACCATCCCTGGAAAGATTCATATTCGTATTCTACTCGACCATCGGGACATTATGTGTCCGTAGTCTGAATTGTTAAGCTTCAAATCTTTAATCAACTAGTACATCAGCTGAAGAAAAAATTTAAATAATTCTATCTATGATGCGTGTCCTGCGCTGCAGGATAAATATCTAAGTGTGCCGATTAGTCGTCAATATTAGAATGTATGAATTGGAGAAAGTTTTTTTATATTGAAATTTTCAAGTTTATCGAATTTAAGGGCGGCAATGATACAAAGAGAAATAGTTTTTAAATTTTTCAATAAATTTGTTTTTATTTTGGGGGTTATTGTCTCCATTAATTGCAAATTTTCAAAGAATTAATATATACAAAAGTATAAATTTTAGATTTTAATTAAATGACCTCTCGGTAAAAAAATAATGCATTAACAAAATCATGAGAACAATAATAATAATTATTATTATTAACTCTCATAGGTACTAAACCAAAGATTTAAAAAATTTATTTTTTTTTTTTATTTTCTATGAAGAAAAAATATTTTGTTTATACTTACAATTTTAGGTTTGAATGGAGGCTGAACTTCTCTATTTTCAATTTTATCCCAGTCTATGCGTCTGAAAAATGCATGCGACCTCACATCTTCTTCGCCTCTTCCTCCACAACCCAATCGTTTGTTTGGGTATTTAGTCAAAAACTACAAATTAATAAATATAGATTATCAACAAAATAATTTTTTAGGATTTTGTAAGATTTTTTAAGATTGTTTGTTTAAGAGTGTATGGTTAAGATTGTTTGTTTGTGATTGTTTGTTTAAGATTGTTTATTTAAGATTGTTTGTTTGAGATTGTTTGTTTAAGATTGTCTATTTAAGATTGTTTGTTTAAGATTATTTGTTTAAGATTATTTGTTTGAGATTGTTTGTTTAAGATTGTTTGTTTAAGATTGTTTATTTAAGATTGTTTATTTAAAATTGCTTGTTTAAGATTGTTTGTTTAAGATTATCTGTTTAAGATTGTTTGTTTAAGAGTGTTTGGTTAAGATTGTTTGTTTGAGATGGTTTGTTTGAGATTGTTTATGATTATTTGTTTAAGATTGTTTGTTTAGGATTTTTTGTTTAAAATTGCTTGTTTAAGATTGTTTGTTTAAGATTGTTTGTTTAAGATTGTCTGTTTAAGATTGTTTGCTTAAGATTATTTGTTTAAAATTGTTTGTCTAAGATTGTTTGTTTGAAATTGTTTGTTTAAGATTGTTTGAGATTTGTTTAAGAATTATTCAAAATTTGTTCAAGATTGTCTAAGTTTGTTTAAGATTGTTTAAGATTGTTTAAGATTGTTTAAGATTGTTTAAGATTGTTTAAGATTGTTTAAGATTGTTTAAGATTGTTTAAGATTGTTTAAGATTGTTTAAGATTGTATAAGATTGTTTAGGATTGTTTAAGATTGTTTAAGATTGTTTAAGATTGTTTAAGATTGTTTAAGATTGTTTAAGATTGTTTAAGATTGTTTAAGATTGTTTAAGATTGTTTAAGATTGTTTAAGATTGTTTAAGATTGTTTAAGATTGTTTAAGATTGTTTAAGATTGTTTAAGATTGTTTAAGATTGTTTAAGATTGTTTAAGATTGTTTAAGATTGTTTAAGATTGTTTAAGATTGTTTAAGATTGTTTAAGATTGTTTAAGATTGTTTAAGATTGTTTAAGATTGTTTAAGATTGTTTAAGATTGTTTAAGATTGTTTAAGATTGTTTAAGATTGTTTAAGATTGTTTAAGATTGTTTAAGATTGTTTAAGATTGTTTAAGATTGTTTAAGATTGTTTAAGATTGTTTAAGATTGTTTAAGATTGTTTAAGATTGTTTAAGATTGTTTAAGATTGTTTAAGATTGTTTAAGATTGTTTAAGATTGTTTAAGATTGTTTAAGATTGTTTAAGATTGTTTAAGATTGTTTAAGATTGTTTAAGATTGTTTAAGAATGATTAAGATTGTTTAAGATTGTTTAAGACTGTTTAAGATTGTTTAAGATTGTTTAAGATTGTTTAAGATTGTTTAAGATTGTTTAAGATTGTTTAAGATTGTTTAAGATTGTTTAAGATTGTTTAAGATTGTTTAAGATTGTTTAAGATTGTTTAAGATTGTTTAAGATTGTTTAAGATTGTTTAAGATTGTTTAAGATTGTTTAAGATTGTTTAAGATTGTTTAAGATTGTTTAAGATTGTTTAAGATTGTTTAAGATTGTTTAAGATTGTTTAAGATTGTTTAAGATTGTTTAAGATTGTTTAAGATTGTTTAAGATTGTTTAAGATTGTTTAAGAATGATTAAGATTGTTTAAGATTGTTTAAGACTGTTTAAGATTGTTTAAGATGTTTTTTTTTTCAAGATTTTTTAGGATTTTTTAAGATTTTTTAAGATTTTTTAAATTTTTTAAGATTTTTTAGGATTTTTTAAGATTTTTGAGGAAACCTAAAATTGCAGATTTTATATTTCACTCTTAGGTTTTTAAAAACTTAAAAATCTAGGTAGAAAAAAAACCTATACTAGCCAACCTTGACCAAAACAAAGATAAAAACCAAATGATTAAAAATATTTTTAAAATCGTAAAAGGTAGAGATCTTATTGGGGTATAGGCACTATGGAAAAAGAAGAGTTATTAGCGCTATTATATTTAGTAAAAAGTAACTTACTCCTTTGCACACATCTTTCGCTTCTTTCGATAACCCTTTGGGATAACTGACGTTGTGATCCGTTATTGCTGCAAATAGTTCTTCTTCATCCTCCCCGTCGAATGGCGGTTGACCAATTAGCATTTCGTATAAGAGCACACCATACGCCCACCAATCCACAGATTTTCCATACGGTTGATATAGAATTATCTAGAAAATAGACATGCCTAGTGTGACGAAGTCACTAAATTTTCCATTAATTTAATTATGAAACTTTTAGTTTGAATTCGAGAAAAATTAGTTTTTACTAGTCCCGAATTTTGAGTCGCGTTTAGATTTTCTGAATTTTCGTAAGCGATGTCAGTCCAGTGTTATTGCAGTCTAACATCGCCGACCTAATTTCTCAACATCCAAGGTAACCCCGAGTCAATAGACCCTTTTTATGTAAAAATTTTCATCATTTATTGGGAATTTTCACCTTTGCTGATTTATATTTAATTTTGTGTGCAATTGATTGTAAATAAAAACTTAAATTAATTAATTTATTTATTTATTAAAATCAATTTTTATTACTAGCTCTTATATATATTGTCTTACCTCTGGTGCGATATAATCGGGTGTACCACAGAAAGTCTTGGTAGTTTTATCACCATTGATTCCTTCTTTGCACATGCCAAAATCGGCGATTTTGATATGCCCATCTTGATCCAAAAGAACATTATCAAGTTTTAAATCGCGATAAATGATACCTCTAGAGTGAAGGAAAAATAATCCGATTGCTATTTCAGCTGAGTAAAATCTGTTGAGAAACCAAAACAAACATTATTTTATGTATACGAATTCATAACCCCATTTATTTGAGCTAACTTTCATCCCCATTAGTAGTTTTTAATTAAAAGTTGTGAAAAAATACTGGTGGCTGCATTTTATTAAATTTCTTGTAAAATATACATTAAAATTATCTGCAAAATCTTTTATGACCATCGAGTTATATTTTTTTTACGCTCAAGACACTACAGTGAAAAATGTCTTCCACTTCAACACCTGCCTCGATTATATTACCAGTTTAACTTACACTGCGACAGGCTCTTTAAATTTCCCACACTGTTGTATCTGGAACATTAAGTCTCCGCCATTCACGTACTCCATGACGAAATATAAACGATCCTGCAATAAGGGCAAGGAGTCATTATTAAAGCCCATAATTTCCAAAAAAAAAATAGCACAGTTGCAAGAGTTTAAGTGTAAGAAGCGGCGACAAAACGTAAGAATTTTTAAACTGGACAAAGTATTTATTAGAAAATTAAAGTAATCGTATAAAATGATATAAAATGGTATAAAAGCATATGAAATCAAATAAAATTATATAAAATTTAATGAAATTATATAAAATCATATAAAATCATAAAAAATCATATAAAATCATACAAAATCATATAAAATGATACAAAACGATTTAAAATCATATAAAATTCTATAAAATGGTATAAAATCATATGAAATCATATAAAATTATATAAAATCATATATCTTATATCATATAAAATGGATATAGTCATATAAAATGCTATAAAGTGATATAAAATTTAATGAAATTATATAAAATCAAAGATAAAATGATAAAGTCATATAAAATGATTTAAAATCATATAAAATTAATAAAAATCAATAAAAATCATGTAAAATCAATTTAATTATGAGTATTAAAACTAAAAAGTTAAATGTATAGATAGAACTGAGTCTAGCGTACTTACTTTTGCGGAATATCTGGAGTTTAAATCTGATTGAAGACTATTTGTATAAAATCTTTTTTTTAAGTATATTATATATGATAAATTAATAAAAGTCATGGATTATTTTTAAAATTTGTTTTAATAACCTAAATTAATTTTTAAAATTTGTAGATTTTTCATAGTGGGTCGAATAAAAAAAATATACTGTACAAACAAGTGTACAACTCGAGTGGATTGTCCATATCGACTCTTGTTGCACAAACTACTATTGTCCCACTGATTTAACACATCAATAAACACAAATGTATTTCAGTGAAAAGATTATCTTGAGAAAAATTGAAAATGTGTATATATCCTTGTGAAATGAAAACTATTTCGTACATTATAATATCAGACACTAAATACTCCGGCCTAATGATTAGAGACATAATTCAGGAAACTTCGCGTACTCACCATTGTTTGAAAACACGAGTGTAGTTGCACGAGAAACGGAGGTTTGCTCGAAAGAGCCAGCACCCGCTTTTCAACCATTGTACACTCGACGTCATCGTCTTGAATGATGATGTCTTTTTTTAGAATTTTTATAGCGTACAGTTCGTCGGTGCCTTTTCTCTCCGCCAACATCACCTTTAACAAGAAAAGTAATACAGCACGCTATATAAATTGTTTCTGTTTTAAGAATATTTTTTTGTATCATAATTTATGTGCATTTAATAATGAAATGCACTAAAAAACAAACACAACTACGAGAGAAAAATAATGATGCCACATCGTTTTATTTTAATGTATATGTATGAACATTTCACTGCAATTTATTTGGCTTACGACCGACAGTCCATGAAGCCAAAATGTACAGGTATAATATAAATAATAGATTTAATTAGAAATGTAAAGTTGAAAAACTAAAAATGACAAAATAAAACCGTGCGCTCACATTTTTATTTTATAAGTTGGGTATATGTCACAATGGAAAACAATTTTTTTAAATTTTTGAGGAAGAGCAAGATGAGGAGGAGGAGGAGGAGGAGGAGGAGGAGGAGGAGGAGGAGGAGGAGGAGGAGGAGGAGGAGGAGGAGGAGGAGGAGGAGAAGGAGAAGGAGGAGAAGGAGGAGAAGGAGGAGAAGGAGGAGAAGGAGGAGAAGGAGGAGAAGGAGGAGAAGGAGGAGAAGGAGGAGGAGGAGAAGGAGAAGGAGAAGGAGAAGGAGAAGGAGAAGGAGAAGGAGAAGGAGAAGGAGGAGGAGGAGGAGGAGGAGGAGGAGGAGGAGGAGGAGGAGGAGGAGGAGGAGGAGGAGGAGGAAAAAAAAAAACTTGTAGAAAAGAAATGATTTAAGATAGTAAACAACAAAAATATCACTTTCTGCATAAACAAAAATTAAAAAACCTAACGTTTAAATATGCTTATAGAACACAATACCTTTCCAAATGATCCTTTTCCTAACACCATCAAAAAATTAAAATCACTAGCCCTTATTATATCCTTTTTCCCCATATTATGCGGCACATCTTTGTCAACCATCAAAGAAGGTTTCTTAGTGATAGACGCTTTCTACAATTAAAAAATACAAAAGAAAAATTAAGGTTGTTCAAATTTTCAATTAAATCATCAGGAATTTTACCCTAACCTTACCCTTTGTTGGTTTTTTATAGTGACCATGTCAACGCCTTCTTCCGGAACGGGTACATTATAAAATTCCCCTTCTTCTTCTGTGAGCAATTTAAACCAACCATTCGCGGGAGCTTTGAGGATTTCTGATATCCCGAAGGACAACGAACCCATGAAATCATTTCGAGATGTTCTGTCCCAATCCCAGATTTCTATGAGGAGCCGTCGGTCTTTGTCCTCGGGTTTGAGCTCACTAAAAAGAATGTATTGCTAAATAACGTTCACCCGGTTGCAAGAATGTTTAAATTTAACGAAGCTGTTAAATGTTGATATATGTTGAGACTGAATCATTTAAAAAAAATCTAAGAAGGGGCAAGCACAATAGAAGGAACTATATTAAGTCAAGGAAAAATAATAGAAGACGAAAAAGATATAATGTTGCGATGGAAAGAATATTTTATAAAAAAAAAATGATGTATACGGTAAAACAATGGAGAATGAGATATTCAACACAAAAAAAAAAACGGTGAGACTACAGAACAAAACGAAATAACGAAAGAAGAGCTAGTAGAAGCAATAAATATGCCAAAAACTGACAAAGCAGCATAACACGATGGGATAACAACAGATATTGTGAAGAGACATGGATGAAAATGATATATATTTTTAAAATATTTAACAATACCTGACACTAAATAATAAAAAAAGAAATATCACCCTACATAATTATATAAATTATAACGTTGCTTCTTCTATAATAATTTTCCTTCAATAGAATTTCCATTATATCATTTTGTTTTATCATTACTGGACTGTCAGTATGCTAGGTATATTAATCAATATGTAAATTACATGTTTTCGTTTTATAATATACATTTCCAGGAAAACATGAAAAATAACAAAAAAAATATAATGGGTTGGGTATCTAAATAATTTCTCTTTTTTATACAAATGTTTTAGAGATTTTTTGAAAGTAAATAAAAATTAAAAAGTATTGTGAAGATCAGAAAAATATTTATTTAAAATATTATTAAAGAAAGGAAATAAGAAGTCAATTATTTTTCGATAAAAATTACTCACAAAGTTATCGTTTCATTCCACACTGGATTAAGGTTCGCTTTGATTGTCCTCGTTTTCTTTTTAACATTGTCTGAATCTGGAATGAGTTTGAGTTTAACGTATGGATCGCTCAGACCGTTTGGATCCATCGGAATGAGATTTTTTCCTTGCAAAACTATAAATAAATGAAATTATTAATGTTACCAAATATGGGTGTATCTGATAGAACGTAAGCTTTAAATAATGCGATATAATGTGGTAATTATTTAAAGAGTGGACATAGGGAGTATTTTTGTTAGACTAAGGATGTAGCCAGTGTGGTAGAAAATATAATGTCTAATTAATTACATTTAAAGCAAACCTTTTAGAATGCTAAATCTGCGCTACTGGTACAAAAATGATATTGGGGATAACTCAGATACGAGCAGTTAGGGTTTTGGAGGTATTATTGTCCAGTGCAAGGATACAAATTAAGGTTAAAGACTTTGAATGCGGACTAAGGTCCAGAACTATCGCCGAAGGCGAGAGCTCTCATTTTTTGGGACCATAAATCCCGAAATAACGTAAAGTTTTGTGCAACGATTGTGTAATATATTATAATAATATATTATAATATATTTCTAAAGTGTTTTCTTTGATAATAATTAATTGATTTACATATAAATCCCAATTGTACATTTTTCGTCCCGAGTTTTATAGTTATCTTAAATATATTTTAGAATATTATATAACTTAGACTTGTCCCGAAAAACGAGAGATCTCGCCTTCGGCGAGTCTGGACCACAGTCCTCCCTCGAACTTTTATTAGATAACGGTGCACAACATTTATTTATTACCGAAAAATTAAGCAGCCAATTGAATTTGCCTTTAAAAAGGTATTGGGAATTGTAAATGAAATGACTTCTATAATTAATTTGGGTTTGTAGATTATCCTAAAGGTATGGGTAGTCGGGATCACATGATAAATACCAGAGTTTTTGAGGTATTATTATCTACTGCTCTAGGGTACAAATTGAGGATAAAAATGTAAAGCTTTATTAGATAACGGTGCACCACCTTCATTTATAACTGAAGAATTAAGTAGCCGATTGAATTTGTCTCTAAAAAATATTGATATGAAGATATTGGGAATTGGAAATGGGATGACTGTAAGTATTATGTAACGGGTAAGGTAAATTTGAGGGTTTCGGACTATAAGTAAGTGAAAATCTTTCCGAAAATAGCAAACATATCTGAAAATATCCCTTCGGTTAATATTTAGTATGAAAATATAAAGATTCCGAAGAAATTTGGAAAATTGACACGTTAGTGGATGCAGGAGTTTTTTGGGATTTGATCTACCAAGGAAAACGAAAATTAGATGAAGGAAACACCATTATTAGAAACATAAAGTTGGGTTTAATTGTTTCAGGACCAGTAACGGGATTCTGGGATAATTGTAGTAAAAGGCAGATCAGCAGATGTTTGAATACAAGAACAGCTTGAAAGATTTTGGACATTAGAAGAGTATTATCAAGTAAATGTTTATTTTAGAGAGGAACAAACTTGTGAGGATATATTTAAGGATACAACATGGAGAAAAAAGGGTAGTAAATTCGTAGTAAAATTATCAAAGAAACAAAGACGATTGAGACTGTTTAGTACAGATATAAAGTTTTATAATTTGGAAAAGAGGCGACATAGATAATTAATTCAGTGGTATAATATTACGCAAACCCCATATGTTACCGGGTAGCGCCAGGTGTCACCAAACTCTTAAGTTCTTTGTACATTTTTATATTAAGATTAGTAACAGATTTAATTTTGTATAGGAGCTTTTTTGTAATCTATAAGCTATTTTTATACAGTCCACTAACCTTCTATGGTTAGTTTGCTTCCGTTACAGTTGATTTTTAGCTGTATTCTGCCTCTACGTTCAGTATGATCACAACCACATAAATTCGGAACGCTCTCTTCACATCGTTTATGAACGTTCATATCACATGCTAAAAAAATTATTAAATTTTTTCAAATATAAATGATTACACGTAAGAATATGTATATATTCGTAATTGTCGTGCGTTGTTTTCTATTCAAACTAACTAGAAGATTAGATACAAATGACATGCTAAAACAATTTATTATTTATAATAAAAAAGAATCTACTAAAAAAAATTATAACAAAATGAGAATGTAAACTTGAAATCAATCAGCACAAAAAAAATAATGTAGTATTGTGATGTATAAAAGCGAAGAAATAATAAATATTCAAACATTCTACAATAAAAAAAGGTATATATAAACTATAAAACAAGATATACACATATTATTGAAGTTGAAGGTGAGTTATAGAGAAAAAGAAATAAAATTAAGTCTTTAAGTTCTCACAAACCGATTTTGAGATTTTCTTATGACTTCAACATCAAGAAATAGACTAAAAAAAAAGACAAAAGTGAAATAAGTTCCTCCTTCCCTAATTAAAATAGATGATTAAAATAATTCTGTGAGAACTCAAGGACTTAGTTTAATTTATTTTCCTTTTATACATATATTATTTTTAATAATATTTCTAGACGCAAAAATGTATTCTTTTTCCACTTAGATCAGTGCAGATTTTCTTCAAAATCGTTACATTTGAATTATTTCTCTTCTAAATATTTTAATTACTTTTTCTTACAGGTAATTAGGCGTCTATCTTTGATAATTCTACCTTAATAAATTCTCATTTTAACTACTATCTATGCTAGTCATCATTCCTTCATCCATGCACCATTTGTCATGGCTTTTCTTTAATTTATATGAAAGGTTACAGTTTGGGCAGCTCTACAGTACTTATGCACCAGCCGTCACTGGTTGTTAGAGAAAAAGACCTAAATTAACAATTAAACTCATTTGTTATGCGTTGTACTACCTAATCTTTCAACCTGAACGTGGAAACAAGATTTTAAAGCAATTTAAATTCGCAAATTGTGTGTTAGTAGGTGGAAAACGATAAATCTTAAGCCAAAAAAGACAAATTGGATTACGATCGTCTATCTCTCTCACTCTCTCTGTTAAATCTTTCTTGCCAACTAGTTTAAGTGGGAAATTATCTAGATTAAACCGACATTTAGATATTAAGGTATTCTAGATGTTCATAAATAATTAAATGAATATATCTACATTAATTAAATCCAGGAATTAATTAAGTTATAGAATTTAATTACCAGTTTGCATGCGGTATTTTATCAAATAAAAATAAGATTTTTAACTTTGTGTAGAATAGAGTCAATTTTCATAGTGTATTAGAGATATCCTAAAGGCTTTCTGCTTCTGCCTGAAGAGTCACAAATAACCGGTATGATCGCACCCTTTCCAATTAAGTCTTCAATCACCACGTATTTTTACCTCATAAAAATATTACAATTAGCCATAACCTTTTATTTTTAATTATTTATTTTTCTTAAAGAAAATTTACATTGTATAGGAATGATCAACAACACTAAATCTTAAATTGTCAATGTTATAAATCTTAAAAACAAAGACACAAATGTTAAAATTATAATAATATGAAAAACATGACGAAATTATTAAGTAGGAAGGAGATTTAAAAAGAAACAAGAATAAGATTAAGAGTATAAGAGTATAAGAGTATAAGAGTATAAGAGTATAAGAGTATAAGAGTATAAGAGTATAAGAGTATAAGAGTATAAGAGTATAAGAGTATAAGAGTATAAGAGTATAAGAGTATAAGAGTATAAGAGTATAAGAGTATAAGAGTATAAGAGTATAAGAGTATAAGAGTATAAGAGTATAAGAGTATAAGAGTATAAGAGTATAAGAGTATAAGAGTATAAGAGTATAAGAGTATAAGAGTATAAGAGTATAAGAGTATAAGAGTATAAGAGTATAAGAGTATAAGAGTATAAGAGTATAAGAGTATAAGAGTATAAGAGTATAAGAGTATAAGAGTATAAGAGTATAAGAGTATAAGAGTATAAGAGTATAAGAGTATAAGAGTATAAGAGTATAAGAGTATAAGAGTATAAGAGTATAAGAGTATAAGAGTATAAGAGTATAAGAGTATAAGAGTATAAGAGTATAAGAGTATAAGAGTATAAGAGTATAAGAGTATAAGAGTATAAGAGTATAAGAGTATAAGAGTATAAGAGTATAAGAGTATAAGAGTATAAGAGTATAAGAGTATAAGAGTATAAGAGTATAAGAGTATAAGAGTATAAGAGTATAAGAGTATAAGAGTATAAGAGTATAAGAGTATAAGAGTATAAGAGTATAAGAGTATAAGAGTATAAGAGTATGAGTATAAGAGTATAAGAGTATAATAGTGAGTATAAGATTATAAGAGTATGAGAGTATAAGAGTACAAGAGTATAATAGTATAAGAGTATAATAGTATAAGAGTATAAAATTATAAGAGTATGAGTATAAGAGTATAATAGTATAAGAGTATAAGAGTATAATAGTATAAGAGTATAAGATTATAAGAGTAGAAGAGTATAAGAAAATAAGAGTACAAGATTAGAGTATAGAGTATGTTATGTTGATAATGGGGTGTTAATACACTGCGACCTAAAAGATCTATTGTGCCCCCTTCTGTCGCCAATGCACTAAGGAAATGTCTCAATGCCTATAGCGACCCTTCCAATCCTATTTTCTCAAGGAAGGAGTATAAGAGTAAGAATAAGAGTAGTAGGAGTAAGAAGTATAAATAAAGAAAAACAACAAGAGAAGGCCAGACAGAAGACATATAAGGAAAATTGACAGCAGTAGATAGAAATTCCAGAAATTCCTGAAGAAAGAAGTGAAACCAAAGATATTTTTTTTTTGTTATTTTAAATTACTATGTTGTTACATTCCTTTGAAGCATATTTAACTTTGTTATCAGATGACAGTTCGAAATTTGGAGTGGACTCACCTACTATTCAGTAATATATAGAAATGTTGCATTAAATTTGCTATATTTGCTTAATTCGTTTAAAAAAATGTCATAAAAAACATATATCGAGAAATAACATGATAGAGGTAAAATATATACAAAAAAATAAATCCATATGGTTAAGGGTTTAATATTTTATTTATTACTACATTCTATAAAGTCCGGTTGTACTTTGCTGTAATTCGCTATGATTATTAAACCTATTCGGGCTATTTTAATGCCCTATATCAACCAGCGCAGGGTTTTGCGACATCCATATTTTACCATTTCATTAGCAACTTTATCGTGCAATTTCAGGATAACATTTTACACTTCCTCGGCGATTCGAATTTTATTTTATTGCTCCTTTTGAAATGAAAACTTTCAACAAACTTTCGAAAACTTTTTATAAATACACACTCGAAATGTAAAGGAAGTTTTTTTAGAATACATTTTTTGAGTAACTTTGTTGAACAAAAAGTTGTACCTATATGAAAATATTGTTTTGATAGTAAAAAATCAAGCCCTACAAACTAACAAAATTTTATCTACTTTAGAACCGTTTATTTCTAAATATTTATTACGCGAAATATCCTTTTCGTATCAAATCTTTGGTTGTGTCACTTTTGGACGAGTTTTAGAAATTTAATGTTCCTATTTTTTATCGAATCGCCACATGATGCGGATTGGTTCTTGGGATTGGCAGTAAAAAGAGATTTATAGCGGTTTTGGGATGTTGTAAAATAATGAAAACCATGTCCTTTTTCGTCCTTAGTTTTTATATTTCAAGAAAACCGAGTATACGCGATTTTTTTCTTAAATCCAACTGTCATGTTATATTTTATCTGAAAATAATTGGATTTATCTGCATAAAGTTCTTCCATGTTTTAATATATACAGAGTGAGTACTAAAAAATTAAATATTTTGAGATATAAATCTGCCATTCTATTAATTCTAAGGATTCGTATATTTTGAAGACCCAGTATAAGCCCAACACGTCTGCAAAGAAGCCATAATAATTATAAGCTTGTTTTTTTTATATAATTATAGTCTCTAACAGGTACGTACTTAATTAAATTTAAATATTTAGGTTAGTTCATGTTTAAAACAATTTCAATTTCACAGCATAAACTATTTATTGAAAATAATAAAATCTAGACGTGTTTTTTTGATTGTTGTGTTTATTATTCTTGGCAAATAGCCAGTCTGCTCGGTAAAAACATTAAAATGAATTGCTTTTATTGTGTGATCAGTTAAATGCTTATTAAAATATTAAATGCCTATTAAACTTGAGCAATTATGAGGTAATTTGCATATTTCTAAATAATAATAGTTAGATTTTTAAAAATATGTAACAGGAAGCACTAGTATCTGCCAAATATTTCAAGCGGTTTAAAACAGTGGTTTAGATTGATAATAAAATCTTGAGGTTATATCAATTTACGATATTAATGTTTTTAAATGATTGAAATATACTCCGAATGATATATATTTATTTTTAATTGTTATAAGATGGTATATATACGTTTTGAACTATTCTAACTCGTCATTCACCTTTTTCATCTAAATAATTAATAAAGGAGATTGTCATTCTGATTTAGTTTCTTCGATAATTCAAGATCAATTTCTGAATGAATTTGTGACCGAATAAACTTTTTATTTATATAATATTTAATTACTTCACTTATAGTAAATTTGTTGTGTTGTTAGTATAAGAATTACAAGAAAGAAAAAATAAAAATTTATTGCAAAATCAATCTAATCATAAATATTATTTGAATATAATACTTTTTTTATTTCGTAAAAATAAAGTAGACATGCTTTTAGAACGCATCTAACTACTTTTAAAACTAAATGCATATTCGAAGCCAACTCCAAACAATCTGTCGAGACGGAAGCTTTATTACTGGCATAAGTTTCAAATACACTCAAACTTTCTGCAATGCGAAATATATTACAAACTTCCAGAACGTTCTCTTGAAATCTTGATTAGATCCTTTTGTATTCGTTTTAACAAAATTTATAATACACTGGATTTTCTGTTAACGAAATCATTGAAAGAATTTTTATTTCATTATATCATCCTCTCTTGAGTATTCAATATTTAACATTTCTTTTTGTAGAGTTTTAGAAAGACCTAGCATTGATTCACTGTTAACTAAGATGATCCTTATATATCATTATTTATTTTATTGTATTCTTGTTTTATAGCTATCTAATAATCATTATTAAGAACTTTATAGTTTGTAGTTAGTATTAAGTAAAAAACATAAACAATAGCTACAAAAAAAAAACATGCAAACCTACTATCGCTATAAAATAAAATGTCTACTGAATTGATAAAATTCGTAATTACCTGAGCACTTCATTCCTTGGTGAATTACGCCATATAATAACGAACCACAATGGTCACAAAATGTAGGAGATGAGTATGTATGCACCTTAAAATTGTGTCGCGTTCGGGTGTCCTCAAACTAAAGAAAATAAATAAACCAAATTAATGCAAATCCTGACAATTAAAAGAGATTCTTAAATACTAATGATGACCTAAACAAATCCATTAAATTTCGTGACAGACAGAAACATACAGAAATAGACAGAGATAAACAGAGATAGTCAGAGACAGATAGAGACAGACAGAAATAGCAAAGAGAGGCAGATACAGACAGACAGACAGACGACAGACAGACAGACAGACAGACAGACAGACAGACAGACAGACAGACAGACAGACAGACAGACAGACAGACAGACAGACAGACAGACAGACAGACAGACAGACAGACAGACAGACAGACAGGCAGACAGACAGACAGGCAAACAGACAGACAGACAGACAGACAGACAGACAGACAGACAGACAGACAGACAGACAGACAGACAGACAGACAGACAGACAGACAAACAGACAGACAGACAGACAGACAGACAGACAGACAGACAGACAGACAGACAGACAGACAGACAGACAGACAGACAGACAGACAGACAGACAGACAGACAGACAGACAGACAGACAGACAGACAGACAGACAGGCAGACAGACAGACAGGCGGACAGGCAAACAGACAGACAGACAGACAGACAGACAGACAGACAAACAGACAGACAGACAGACAGACAGACAGACAGACAGACAGACAGACAGACAGACAGACAGACAGACAGACAGACAGACAGACAGACAGACAGACAGACAGACAGACAGACAGACAGACAGACAAACAGACAAACAGACAAACAGACAAACAGACAAACAGACAAACAGACAAACAGACAAACAGACAAACATACAGACAGAAAGATAAATAGACATACATACAGACAGACAGAGACAGACAGAAACAAACAAGAGACAGATAAGAGACAAACAGAGACAGACAGTGACAAACAAAAACAAACAGATACATACAGAGACATACAGAGAAAGACAGGCATACAAAGACAGACAGAGACATACAGAGACAGACAGATACATACAAAGACAGACAGAGACATACAGAGACAGACATATACATACAGAGACATATAGAGACAGACAGGCAAGAGACAGATAAAAGACAAACAGAGACAGACAAGAGACAAACAGAGACAGATAGAGACAGGCAGAAATAGATAGAAACAGAGATGAACAAACAAACAGACAGAAAAACATATTTAGGAGACCTCCTAAGCCTTTTAAAAAGTACAAATGAAGATGAGATATGTAAATGTATTTTAAGATTTTTTTAATGTTCTGAATGAAATTTTACTATTTTTCTTATAGGTTATCTGCTGCGAAATTTTGGATACCACTTTTTGGCTTAGAAGGGTAAAATAAGTATACACAAGAAGAAAAGTCAACAAAAAAAAAATTAAATAGTAATGAATAATAAAAATAATAAATAATAATGATCTATGCTGATGATATAGAAAATATTTCTACTTACATCGGAATCTGCTCCTTTGTCAACTCCGGGACAAGTAAAGGATACATACTCATGGCACCTTTTGTGTACAACGAAACTACAAACTGTAACAAAAAATTGTTTCATAAAAGTAGATGTGTAAGTAATTTTATTTTGCCAAATATTGTTTTTCTTTGTTTTGACAAAGTTGGTTGAAAACAAAAAAAATGCGAAATAAAATAGCAGCAGTTGCCATGAAGATATTAACTATATTCTTGAAAATATAGATTTATTATTTTCATCTTGTTTTTATATAAGACTAATTTTTTTAATTAATTAATTATATATAATAATATAAAAATGCCAAACGGATTTAAACTTTAAGAGCAAAACTATTACCCCAACTTAAAATAGTTAAAAACTAATTAGAACTCCAAAGTTTCCACTTTTCCAGACCGTATCTTTTGCGTTAGAAAACTTTAATGAGAGATAATAGTTTTAATACTTTCGTTTGTTCTCGAGTTGAAGACATTTCTGCACTCATTACCTACTTGCAAGATTCGAAACTTTGATTAAAATTGTTCAGTGATAACTAACCAATGTAATGATTAATTATATTATACAGTGTGTCCAATTAAGTCGGAACAATTAGAAACGTTTTTATTCTTTATTTTTATTAAAAAAGTTATTCTTTATAAAAAATTCTGCCTGGTCTAAAACCTAAAATTCAACCGTCAGATATTAATTTTTTTTAGGCCGTATACGAGGTTTGTCAAAAAAGTAAGAGTTAAAATTTCAAAAACATATTACTGTTAAAGACATCTTGCTCAAAATAATTTGAAAATCCCTGCCTTGGACTATTCTGTAACATAGATTCGAATCTTATATTAAAATTATCAGAAAGTGGAAAGAAGAGACCCAGAAGACAGAAGAAGAGGAGCAATCGAAGCAGACATCAAGATATCGATTTCTTTTTTATTGAATTTATTTTTAGTTTGTTCAAACTTATAGAACTCTGTACAGATCATAGAAATAATATAGAAGACCAATATAAACATAACATTTAATCAGAAATTGAAACCTACTGTGCATAAAAACGCGTCTCTGCGCCTGACAAAATAGTGTGTCTAGAAGCTTGCGCAATATGCATGACTTGTCCCTGTAGTGTTGCCAAATATATTAAACATACCTAACAGAAAAGAATTTTAAATTAATTAATTTTTAAATTATATGATTTAAACAGTTTATATCTACAAAATATCGCCACAAAATAACTTATACACATTTAAATAATCAACTAATAATATTTATGTGTAATTACATTCCCAAAAATATATACAAATACCGTATTAATGTCATTAATATCGTATTTTTAATGTTCAATAAGCGATTCACCTACAAATTCAATATTGACCTGGCAATAGCACTAAAATCTGGTGTTTCAAGGCTATATGACGCTGCCCTTACAGGACCGTTTGTAGTTTATTATTTATGCCGCGTTTGAGAATCCACATCGGATGCATCTGAGATGTAGTAAATCTTTGATCACGTGATTCAGTATACGTAAATGTAATGGGACAGATGTGTCCGATGTGGATAAAAAACGCTCGAGATGTAAAAAATGCATCCTATGTGGATTCTCAAACGCGGCATTAATTACACGATGAAAGTGGCATTTTATTTTTAGTATTGTGTAGTGTTTAGTCAAATCCTAGGTACAATAAAAGACATTTTTACATTGGCTAATGAAAATGTAATCAATGTATTAGGCAGCTGTTATATTTATTACAAGATTTATGTCTGCAAATCTAAACCTACCTAAGAATTATAATTATGTAAATAGAGAGCTGTATATTTATATACAGGCTGCCCAGCGACGGGGAGACATTATCGATATCGGTTTTAAGGCATTTTAAAACATAAACCCGATCTCAACAATCTTAGGAACTCTTCAGTCACTCGATATTTTAATCGGTACTTCCTCTTCGCTTTTTGGCTGGCACAACAATTATTTACATTTCTTCATTCCTTACCGCGTTCGAACCAGTAAGGTTTAAAGAAATTTAAAAAAAAACCTACTTTAAAAATAAAGATGTTAATGATTTTCTTATGGATCCCATCTTCAGATCTTGACTTAATGTATACAAAACTGTTTCCTTTTCTAACAAAAATAATCCTAGAAATCGGGCAACATGGTAAAGAATTATCGCTCAACATACATAAAAAAATATTTCAACGAATTGAGAATATCCTACCATTTTGAAGTATGTTAAAAAAAAATTGTTAATAAAGTGAATAGTAGGGCATGAACATATATTATAAAGCATATAAAATGATAGATAAATCCAGTTTAGAAGGTATTATAAATAAACTGTGGAAATATCGAGAATCTCGATTTTGAATCGGAAAAATATTCTACGCAATTTAGTATGAAAGCTGATCAAAATGAAACACATGAACGACAAACTGTTATTGACAACTTTCTTCAAACGTTTTCTATTTTTCCGAAAACTAACTAGATAGTTCGAAAATCATTTCCTTCGTTAAAACGCCTCTTGTTCCGAAAAAGGTACACGCCTGCCAACATTCATCGTTCATTAAAAAAGTGGTAGATACAAAACGCTTCGTATTGTAAGGCCAAAATATATTTAGAAATCGAAATAGTCATATAAACAAAAAAATCATATGAGTGAGACAACTACCAAATTAAGTTTATTCCTATTTTTTTTTTTATTTTTTTTTTTTATTATTTTGGTGTCATCGGCGTCGACTACTACGGCCATTAGCCTCGTGTTCTGTGTAGGCTTTGTTACTGTTTCCCAGCGCCACTTTAGGAACAGCACTGTTAATTAGAACCCAACAGTGAATGGTCGAGTGGGGAATCCTACCAAGGCATCAGAATTAATTTTAAATAATTAAATTAAATGAAAAAATCCCGGCCAACGGTGGGATTCGAACCTGAGACCTTCCGATCTCAAAGTCATGACTCTAACCACTGAGCCAACCCACCCCCCGTTTATTCCTATTATTTATAAAATAGGTTTGCAATGTGCTGGTGTGGAATGTTATCATCGACTAAAAACTTTAAATCTTTGTATTAAATTGATCGAAAACAAACTATAAATTGGTTTAGACTATATAGAATGTTTCTAGTAAGCAGCAACTAATTTTTATTATGGAACCGAAAGACCCTTTTAAAAAGGTTCAAAATTAAAATAAAATATGTACCAAGTAAATGTAGTAGTATTTTTTAATTTTTTAATTTATATTGAAAATGGAAACATGAAAGGTTTTCTGTCTAACGACTCATAGTCTCGGCTGACAAAATGTAAAAAAATATCGAACATAATATTCCTGGGCCCTATTTTGCACTCCCCAGATTAAATTTAGTTGTAGCAAATGATATTATCAAATAAGATGTCAAATCACAAGCAAAATCTCGTGACTACAGTACTAATGATTGCCTGTTTGGAAAAGTATCTTTGTTTGTAAATATTTATATGCATAGTTATATTTAAATGCGCGAGTGTAATGTTAAGTATAAACAAAATCCGCCCATTATGTATATACGTTTAGTTACCGACCCTAGTAGATAGGCAATTTGTTATTGTTTTAAGTTTTACCGTAGGGAGAGAGAAAATCAATATTAGGATAAATGGTCCAGCTCCTTTCTGGTTACGTAGGTACCTAAAAAGTATTTTAGTTTTTGGTTAAGTAATTAATTATTGTAACAGTGATTTTCTTGTGATAGTACCTAATTTAGATTGTGGATTAAAGTTTTTGTATATAATTTCGCTGTTTAATAATAAACGTAGTCAAAACCGGAGCACGTGGTTTTTCTGGAAAGTATTTTTAAAATCACAAGCAAAATCTCATGACTACTGTACTAATGATTGCCGAAAATTAACTAATTCATATTTTATGCCATATCTTTCTTAATAAGGACTGTCAGAAACATATTTACCCTAACTTGAAATTTTTTTAATCGTTTTTTGTATAGAGTCATCTCTAAAAATGTATGATTGAAATATCGTGCGAACTATTTGTTCGATCAATAAAAAACTTGCACCGGTCCTGTTCGCGCCAGCACCGTTATACGCATGAGCTCCGACACACTATTTTCTCCTTATGGTTTCATTTTTGATATATGGAATCGGCTTTCTATACTATTTCTATGGTACAGATCCCAACGTTGATATTTGGTTGGTCAGAAATTACATACAGATTGTTTTCCAGTTTTTTTATTCATATTTTAAATACACGTTTTTCTAATAATATTTGTATTTTTTTGTATATTTTATATCTTATTCGAATATTTTAGAAAAAAATCATTTATCTTTATGCGTATTAAATTCCCATTTTTAAATACATGTATTTACATTTAATTTACCTATAATTATTAACAATATGCGTGACAGATTAAAAATATATCTAATTATTTATTCATTATTCAATCCTAACGAATACCAGATAATTAATGTACTATAATTTATTTATGTTACGTTCACAGCCTACAAATGATAAATACGTTGTAAAATAAGATAAATAAAGCTATTCATAAAACTGTTTCAACCAGGAAAAACCACATTACTTTACTCTAATTAAGTCTAAATTAAAAAAAAATATTACACATTAAATTACTAATAATATGTCGCCGATAGAGGGCGTTAAAATCATAGAATAACTTCTGCCTATCCGTTTTGTTTATTTTATACAGGTATGTAATTTTAATTAAATTTCTTAATAAAATATCAGGTTAATTATAGTTTTGAACTAACCAAACATCTATTTAATGAAGTTTAAACTTTGTTAGCGCGTATAAACGACCGGCTATTTAAAAAAAACTCTCCAGTATCCGATGTTTACAAGTATTCAACTCCTTTTTTGTGTAAACTAATCCCAAACAGAACGGCGTATGTTTCCAAAATTAGTGGCATTATTTTGATAAAATTTAGCATGAGTAAAATAATTTACACAATAATTATTCTATTCATTATAGAAAATTTATTACATAATTAAACACAAAGCACCTAATTGAAAATAAACGAAATTATTTTGTACATTATTGGCCTTTGTAGTTTGATGATAATTTATAGACCATTTATTTGTTTAAACGTTCCTTTGTCACATTTATCCGACAATACTTCTTTGTGTCTGTAGTGAATTAATCATTAATATCATGTCTGCACTGTAAGAGGAATATCGAAGTGTGCCGATTAGTTGCCTATATTACAATGTGTGATTCGGAGAAAGTTCTTTTCCTGTTAACTTTCAAAGTATAGACGTATAGAAGTAAAATATTTTGTGTGATTAATTTCGTAGGTTAAATGAGACTAGGGGGAGCTTAAAGTAGACCAAGGGGTGTCATAAAATAGATTAAATATCACCAGACGATGGCTAAGAGCACAAATGTATGTCCAAAAACGTCGTGTTGAGTAAAATCGATCTGAAAGTTGGAAGTGACTATGACGAGCTGTATAATTTTTATTAGCATTACTTTACCAAGTGGTAAACCCATTTAAGTGGACGTATTATATTTGGAAACCATCCATTTCATCATGAAGTATATCCCATTTTCAACAAAAAAGGACATACAATTTTTGTGCTCTTAACCATGGACTGGAGACGAGACTTCACCAGCATACCGAAGAGTTCCCAATCCTGGAAAATTGCAGTGAAAAAGTAAAAGAAATATCAGTCTTCATCCTCATCGGAGTGTTGCAATTTCAACCGGCTACCACGAAAAAAAGAAATGTTATTCGACTCTTACCATTTTTTACCCAGAACATTTAAAAAAAAATACCTAGTTTCCTACTAAAATTATCTTGTCAATGAATTTCCTTGTCCAAAAATTTTACAGGCATTTCCATGTCTCCAAAATTACTGTTTAGCGATAGTTATGGTCTGATCTAGCGTTATGCTAGGACTACAACTACATAGTTTCGAATTAGCGGTCTCAACACTGACCCCTGAGGTGCTACTATATTTAACTTTTAGTATTCAGAGATCTTTAATTTTTATTACTTTCCTGTTACTAAAATTCTGGACTATATTTAAGGTAATCTGAAATTAAATCCTTGATTTTTACTATGACTTTCCTGTTACTAAAATCCTGGGAAAACTAAATTTTATGCTTTGATTTTAACTAATTTTACATTTAGATAGTCAAAAACAGATTAAAGAAAAGACATTTAAAAAAAATGATATTAACAAAGCTGTGTTTACATAACGTATTTTATCTCACTAGAGGGCGCGTTAATCAAAAGTAATGCAATACTCAATCCCTACTGTTATTTAAATAAAGGTATGACTGTCACTGAAGGGGGTTCATAGGAATAGCGAAATTTTGATACCATCGGATACTCCGATGAGTTTAAAAAAAACAACCAGCTTTAATAACGAGTTTTAGTTAATCCCACCAAAAAACAAAAATACCGTAACATTTAAGTTATCATAAACTAAATAAACTGGTTGTCAGTACCTACTAAAGTTCGACCAACATCTGGCAACCTTAAAAAACAATATTTGGCATAATATACCATAATAAACAAATTCAAAACTCACCTTGGCACTGAAATCCTTGTTTTCCAAATCCCCTGAAACATAGAAATCGTATAAATCTTTTCACTCTTTTAATCATTTCGAATATTAAGTACAAATTCAGCGTTTATCACACGTTGAATACTGAAAAATTTTCCAGATATAGCTCGTAATTTTTATGACCATATTTGCAATTCATTTCGGATTCTACCAGACAAATCAAGTTCATATTGGAATAAATCTTAAATTGAAATTAATGTCGATTGTGTTTGTTCAAATATTTCGATCCAATTGATTCTCTACAAGTACTTAGAATCGGTTTTAGAATGTTTCCTGATTAATAATTATCATAGCTAAACTGTTATTAATACAATAAATAAAATGCCCAATCTATTAGCACAGCTTATACAATATCCACCTCCACAACTCCGTGTCGGCGTCTTTGATCTGGCGGTCGAGAACCAAGCAAGACGGAATGGTGCTATCTCTGTTAGATTCGAGGGAAAAGTCGGGCCCGGATTAAACAATTTTTTTATTATTGAAAAAATTGAAAACCTTGGCGTAATAAGGTTGGTTACATGCCATATTAAGTAAGTTTTGGGAAATTAAATTTTTAATTTGTTTTAAATCTGTCAAATATAATTAGAAACATTATTTAAATATAAATATTACGAAAAATAGCACATCTTTCGGATTAGAGGTAAAATAATTTGTATGTGGCTAGTAAAATCCTCGTTAACAAATGTTTTGAGCTAAAACAGTCACTTCACGACAAAATTGTGGCTTGGATCCTTTTTACACCAAGGGCTTCAATTGTTAAAGAATTGTGTCACGCTCGTGGATGCAAATCAAGTGGTACCCCGTGTCTCTGGCAAGTGTTACTCTTCGCGCAAAGGGTTTATACCTAGATAGACGAATGCTTCGACTGAGATCTGGGAACTCTATGGTATTTTGGAATTATAAAGAATTTGTGCTTTTATTTTAACAATATTGGTTATATTTAGATGTATTCTTATTAATTGAAATACAGATTTGTAGAAGTAATACTTTGACAGTTTTTATTAATATAATATATTCAATTTTTATCTGACCATACCGAAGTAGGGAATTTTGAAACTTTATAGTAATGTGAAATTTGAATTACAATATTACACGATATTACATAATTAGTACTTATTTTAGGTAGGTACTAAATTTGTACTTGGAGAAAGTAATATCGATTTTTACAAGAAAACTTGAAAAGTAAATTAATTTAGTTCCTATTTCTGATGTAAAACTTAAGTTTTGGTTTAAACCAAGAAAACAAATAAATTATAGTTTGTTCAACAAGGGTGGATATGATAGCAATATCACACAAAGACGAAGTTTGAGCACGACGTCGTATGCGGAGTACTCAATCGTCTGATTGTGATATGAACAATCCACTCGATATGGTCAGTATATTTTTTCTACGACCCACTAACGAAAATCTACAAATTTAAAAAATTATTTTAGGTTATTTAGACAAAATAACTAATTTTAAAATAATTTACGAAGTTGACTAATTTATAAAATAAAATTAACATGAAAAATTAATTAGTCCTCGGCCTAGATTCGATCCCGGGCTTTTCGCGTGGAAGGCAGATGCTCTGTCCTCATCTTCACCGAAACTTTCAGGACTTTAGTTTTAATACTCGTAATTAAATTAGTATCATGTAGTTTGATTAAAATTTATTTTTTTTTTAAATGTGGACATAATAAAAACAAAAATGCTATTATTTATCGAGTCTACACAAAAATTTTAATGTATATTTAATATCAATAACTAAAATATATATTGACAATTAGTTTAACAGAATTGTCACTTATTTAAAAAAAATTAAATAAAAGGAGTTGGGTGACCAAAATATGAACTGTGATTTGTAGATTTAATTTTGTTAAAGTGTTCTCACTACCTAAAATGGATATGAAATATATTCGTAGTTGAACGCAATAACATACTTTTTCGTTTTGTAGTATGTGCATAGATTGGCTAATATCCATGCACAGATTACAAAACGAAAAAGTATGCTATTGCCTTCAATTGAACGAATATATTTGATATCCATTCTAGGTAGTGAGAACACTGCAAAAAAAATAAATTCGCCAATCACCGTTTATATTTTGATCAACCGACTGCTATTATTTTTAAAATTTTAAATAAATGACAATTCTGTCAAACTAATTGTCAGTATATTTTTTAGTTATTGAGATTAAACATACAATAAAATAAGTTATTCTTTTGGAAAACGTTAGCATGGATGACTAAAGGGTATTGGGTTAATTAATTCTAAAAGTGTGGTACAAATGTTATTTTTTGTAGCCAATTCTTCAAAATTATTTTGAAATATCTTTTCAATATTGAATATTAGTTCTACAAATTCATCATTTGACAGTTGCAGATTTCCAAATGTATCTGGATTGGCGTTATCACATGCCTTTAAAAAGCAATAAAAAGAAAAATCATCTAATTCAACGTGATCTTTGTTATATTTAAGACAGGTATCGCAGAGGAGTGGATCCGCAAGGCTTTTATTAAAAGGTAACCACACACATACCTGATAAAATTTTTCTGTATCAATTCGTCTTTACAATAATTTAGGGTGTTAATAATTTTATCATAAAATAAAATACAAGGTGTTCCATTTAAAAAACATACATTTTAATTTGCCAGGCAAAAACGTGACACCCTGTATATCCAAAGATATTTTTAAAATATGTAGGTATTTTTCAAATCCATATAACTTTTATTTAAAACTTTCTTGCGTGTCTACAACAAAATAATGAACAATAACGCACTAATGGGATACTCTGTATAAATTATATTTTTAACAATGAAAATTTCTTATAATGTGGTACTTATCGGTTTGGGTCCTTGGGAAAACTAAAGAATGTTTTCTTGCAGGTATAACCCTTATTAAAACAGCTTTTGACTGCACAAACAGAATGATGTTTTTTTTTTCGATCATTCTACTCATAGCTAAAGAGTCACCAAAATAATAACAGTACCTTTAACTCAAACAAAATCAACGAAATTATAGGCTCCACGAAATTATAGGCTCCACGAAATTATACAATCAACGAAATTATACGCACGACTCAACACCTTACCTAAGTACGCTTCTGAACACCAAAACCTTCTTTTCCCTTCGAAGGCGGAGCTTAAGCGATGCGCGACGAAATCGACGCAAACCGTTGCCGCCAAGAGAGTGTTTTAGCTGTATTGTTAAGCTGTGCTATTAGTGTGGATTTGCATCTGTCAATTTATTATTAAAATTATAATGGTAGTTGTAATAGCAACAGTTTAATTACTTGCACAAGGGATTAACCGGTAGTTTCACAATTAGCAGTTAATGGCTGGTTTAAATATTAATTGGATTGGTATACTACAAAACTGAAATAATTCAAAGTATAGTAGATTGATTGATTTTTTACAAGAATTACTCAATTTGAATATACTGACAATTAGTTTGACAGAACTGTCATAAATTCACAATTTTAAAAAATAATAGGCTGGACAATAAATATGAGCTGTGATTGGCTGATTTCATATCCTCACTAGAACTTATATAAAATTATATCTGTTTAGTAGACTGATATATTCTCGTTTTGTAATTTGTGGATAATATACTCATGTGAGTGTAGAAAAAATGAAGTATCTAATACATTTATTAGTATTTCAAACTACATTTTACTATTTCAAATTTAATATGGGTTTAACAAAATCAATTTCTACTAAATCCTAGAAAAACATTGTCCCACTTAAACAGATCTCAATTGAACAAAGAAATAACAAAGCAAGAAAACAGGCGAATGGAGATTTAGAGAAGAATTGTGGAAAATAACGTCTTTTGTCAACTCCTAAACGACATATTATTATTGTAGAAACTAGAGAACAATTTTCTCTCAATGTTTCCAAACAACAAATGAGTTTGAACTTGTATCTGAACGAGATATATTTTTGAGGAAAGTTTTGTTTTAAATTATTATTTAATTTCTCAAAATCAACATATTCTAAAGCTGAAATTGGTGTGTACGTTCGAATTTAGTTAATATTTGTAAATCTAGGTAAAGATATTGTTTTAGAAACAAAAATAAATAAAAAAAAAAAACGAAAACTAGAAAATCTACTACATTTATTATATACAAATAATTCATGGAAAAATATCAATACCCGAAACAAGAAAATTAAGGTTCAGCTTATTACATTATTCGTATCATCCATCCCTTAATTGATTGGCTTAATGGCTGCCATCAGGATTGAATTTAATAAAAGCTCAATTATTTTTCTGATTTTCCATTAATGTTTCGAGTATTCGAAATTTGTAATGAAGCAGAGTATATTTTTCGCTGCTATATTAAATTTAATTAATTGAATTTTAAAAGCATACCTTTATTATATTGTTTAGAAGGGACTCAGTTAAACACCTAAAAATGAAAAAGATACAAAATCAATAAAGGTATTGTTTCATAATGTTCAGCATACCTGAGTATATTTTATTCATTATATCCGCAGCAGAGTTTTAGATTTTGTATTTTGAGATTTTCCGCGTTTCACGAAAACTTTTTATACCAATATTTACAGGGTGTGTAAACTTCAGTAGTTATTTATTTAAATAGATTAAATCTTACTTACTAATTTATATTCCTTTTCTATACTTGCGTTTAACAATGCAAGAAAGTAATTAAATAATTAACAGCATCAAATTACACATCGTAATTTGATTAACACAGACCTGCTGCATTCCCCTGACGGTATTTCATTAATTATCCATCAGCATGCTTCATAGATCACAGCAATACTCCTTTACATTATCTTGAGATAATCCACTGAAGCTAATGGTTGCCTTTGTTGGCTTTAATATATTATTATGTGTCAGTTTTTCATAAAAAAAACCTTATCAAATAATTATAACGGGTGTCCCAAAAGTTTTGGGAAAAAGTTTGTCTGTGCTCTACGGAGTATTAAATCAAATTTATCTAGTTATAGTCTATTTTTATGTATGAGAGAGTAATAAAACAGCATTTCTAATGCAAA